TACTATTTAAAATGTGTTGTGTTTCTAATTATTTCTGGCTTTAAAGGCACAGCATGGTTTCCCTACACTCTGACCAAAGCGCAAACAACTAGACACGTGAAAATCAAATCACGACTCTTTTGTGTTTCACCTGTGCAATACCTAATACAATTATACAATCCGAATAACTTGTATTTTCACAAATAAATAGAAAAATGTCTTCTTAAAATGGCATCTTTTAAAAATAAATAAATAATTAAAATAATGCTTTAGTGCCTACCAGCCTCAAGATATTGTTTATAAGCCAAAACACCAAGACAAGTACAAAGATTGTCAAATAAATGAATAAATAAATAGCGAGTTACATATCAAAGAACCTTTTTTCCCTACATGTCTGTTGTTCAGATAACGTTACCTGTTAATAGCGTGCTTTGAGGATCTCCGGCATCTTTCTGAGAGGACAACTAAATATGAAAGCAGAACGGTTCATCTGGATAGTGCTCTGGAGAGCATAACACATGAAATAACAAATCGCAATTATCAGGGTTTGATTGTGAAAATGTTACATTTTACTGACGAGAAACCTTGCAGCTATTTTTCTGTCAAAGGCAAAAGTGGCTTGATACCAGCGTTGTATCTAAAAATCTTTTTGAAACTGGAAACTGGCTCACATTCATCATTTTTGTAATGGTTGTGTGGGTTTTTGGAGCACAAAACAATGTTGTACTAGTATTAGTGGCAGCAGATTAGAAAATACACAAATATGTTACACTGGAAAGCCATCACAAGCAAACTGCTAAATAGTGAAAGGAGTCGTGTCACTATATGCGGAAATCATGTGATATCCATTTGAACTGTTTGAGAGTATGCTTAAAGTTACCCAAGTACAAATTGACTAGCCAGTGTTTTCACAAAGGTAATTTGGAACATGATAGCTTACAGGTCGAAGCACTAATAACTAACTGCTTTTTAAGTGTGCCCAGTTGGAGCCCAGTGAGATATATTTATTTCCCAGTTTGCTGCATCCAGCAGTGCACTTACATAAGCGGCCAACATTGTGGCTCAGTCTGGAGGAAGTTTCCCAGCAGTGCACTTACATAAGCGGCTAACACGGGGCCTCAGTATGGGAGAAAGCTACTGAATAGCACAAACAGGAGACTGGAGTTAAAAATTGATGACTTGCTTTTTGTGTCCCCCCCCCTCCCCTCGCTCCAACAAAGAGATTCAACTCGTCCTACTTTCCTGACGTCACCTAATGGAAAAATGCAAGCCTTTCTGTCTACTTCCTCTTTGGGTGTCATTGCTGCTTACATCCGTTTCATCTATCTATGCATTAACAGTGTACACATACATAATCACTATGAATGTGTTTTCTTAAAAAAAGGAAATCCCCTTTCACTTTGTACTTGTGTCATATTAGCTTCTTAACATCAAGCGGTGTTTGAGGTCTAATTAATTAGGTACATAATGGCAAGAACGTTTCCTCAGGACTTGACTGTAGCATAGAGGCTTTGATCCCATATCTGTCTGCAAACTAAGCCCACTTCCTCCTATGACCTCACTTGCCCCGAGGGATTTTAGAGTGTGTTGTTTCATGTACAGCATCTTAAGCACACATATTTTAGCCACTGGGATTGTAGGAGTGTCTGTGCATAATAGTATCACTGACATGATGACTGTGTGTGTGTGTAATACAATTAGTATGCATGCATGTGTGTCTGGAGTGATTGTTCACCTGTGTGTATTTTTGTGTTCTGTATTCCTTGTGTTTTTGGGGTTTTTTTTCTGTGCCGGAGGGGAGTGCAGCAGCAGGTGTTGGCAGTCCTCTGTGTTTTTCATCATAATGAGTTCCCAGTCCACACGCCGTCCTCTGAAGGAAACATCTATAGTTTCAGTGACAGTCTCGTAATAAACCACAACACTTCCTCCATACCTTTGAATTTGCTTTTAAACAAGGTTCACGTAGAAGTGGTAATTGTCAAATTGGTATATTATAGACATACATTTCCTGTTTAATTTGTGCCTCTTATTGACCTTTTCACATTTTCCCTCTGTTTTTTGACTGCTCTAAGCATTGCCACTTTCTTTCGTTGTTGTGGATGATTTTATAGCCACAACTTAAAATTAATTTTTATACTTTCAAGACATGCATTTGTTTGACTTGCAGTACCCTTAAAAACAGCAAAAAAAAGGGAGGGAAATTGCACAAAAACAACTTGTTTGTCTGCTTTTACCTGTGTTGTTCCATGTGGCCTTGCATGGAAAGTTCCAGGTGTGCAGCAGGAAAGAGATTAGCTAAAGTGTTTCATATGGTGTAACAAGCTTAAATGTTATATATTTGCTCATTTATGTTTACTATTCGGTGCACTGACTATTTTAGAGCAAAGCTGATGTCATATAAATGAAGTGAGTTTGTGGCAGTTTTCTACATTACTTTTAAATGAATTTGTTGTATTACAAAATAAAAGACTCTAAAAAGCTATTTAAACCTACTTGACCCTATGTGAAAAAGTAATTACCTCCTAAACTCAATAACTGTTTGTTCCATGCTTGGCACCAAGAATTACAATCAAGCCTTTGCGATAACTGGCAATTAGTCTTGCCCCACTTTTCCTTGCAGAATTGTTTTAATTCAGCTGTATTGGAGAGTTTTCAAGCATGAATGGCCTATTTGATGTCAATCAATCAAATCGATTGCAGTGTGTTGACACTCTGTCTGATTTGTTCACAGTTATTTGCAAACCTTCACCAATCTGTCTCATGGTGATTGCAGTCAGTCTGAATTGGACCGTGATTGTTTGGAGAAAGATTGCCTCCCAACAGGCGACCTATGCAGTCACCTTGCGATCAAAAGTGATTGCTTAGAGTTTGAGGGTGTGGTTTACCTCTGGGCAGTCAGCTGGTCACTGCAGCTACTTGCAGTTGGTCACGAAACAAAACAATAGTGGATTTTTCTTTTTCTTGGTTGCATAGAGGTTGCTATTTTTACTCTGATGTCACTGAGCCTTTACTTGACAGCATTTCATACTGCCAGATGTGATTTATCAGAGTCAGTTTACTTGCCATTCATTTTCTTTCCAGAAAGGATGTAGCTAATTGTGCATTAACCTTTGGCTGTATCAGTCTCCCAATCAGTGTTGTAGAGCTTCTGTGCTTAGCTTGCAGACGCTTTTTCGTATGTTCTTTGTAGCGTAAAGGCACTAATCATCCTGCGGTAGTGTTGCATTTTACTCTCATGTTGTCCTCGTCTTTTTCACCAACAAAGGAAAAACATTCAAATACTTCTTCGCATCTAGAAAGCGTTTCCAACACGTGGACAATGGACACTGAGACTGGTCCACAACTTAGTAGGAGCCAGTTTGAGTATTCTCTCAATAACAAGAATAAAAAGTAGTGACATTACTGTATTATTTGTGTTCTTTGACACTTGGAGGTACAAAATGTTGATTTGGCTTCATATGATCAAGATAATATTGGTAAACAATAAAATCAAATAACCTGCCAGGTTATGTCAGCATTGTTCAGTTGTTTAGTGAGATAATGATGGTAGATACTGAAGTTATGTGGTTAAGCACATTGACGTTTAATAGGCTGGATGTCGAGACAGTAGCAGAATAAGCAGCATACCTGCATTCACTTTAGCTGAACAGGCCGAATAAAGTAGGGCCATTTATTAAATAATGAAGCTGAAGGCCACCAGCTTCATTATTTAATACATGTGTGACATTTCAAAGAGACAACCTTCACTTTATGGTTTTGTTCAGACAACCATTAACTTGTCTGGCCAAAAAGCTTTTCACTCAGTGTCTTCCTTCATGTTTATGGTGAGGGAAGTTTATCAGGTATAATTTTAGCTTATTTTTGTCCCACTACAGAAAGTTCCTCAGGAAACTCTGCAGTATTTTAAGCCAGATTTTGTGCAGTATAGTAGTGTAACAGCTATCAGTGCTATATCAGTGTAACATGGAGTCCTGTTTTGTCACCTTCTGGGTGCAGAGAGAGTGTGGCTAAGCACCTGTCCTCCCAAAAACAAGAGGAAAATCGAAAGTTGGTGAAGAAGTTCATGAGTTTGAGCAGAGTGTGGTTTCTTCCTCTGAGTTCAGCAGTTCATTCTTTCTGCAAGATCAGGACATGTTCCTCGGTCACCCTGGGTGTCACATCTCCCTCACGCTAACAGCAGCAAGCACAGCATCTCACATGTCCCCCGGGATGATCCCACCTGGCAGCGGTGTGTGCGTGTGCATATGTGTGTGTGTGTAGCTGTGTGTGGGAGTGAGAGAGGGAAGGAGGGAGAAAATTAGTTCTCTTCATCACTGCAAAAGACCTGCGCTGCCTTTTCCCCATCTTGGCTATTATTTTGCCTCTTGTCTCTTGCACTGAGCTCATGTCCTAACTGCACTCTCTATTGGCCATGATTTATCTGATACACAATCTCCTGAAATTTCTCTCTTCTTGCTGTATCCCTCTATCCCTGTTTTATTCATACTGCCTCTCCTCTTGCAGTAAACATTTCTTTGTACTCTGCTCCCATCTTTTTCATCCTCATTATATTGAGTCCTTTTGTTCCACCCACTTCACTTACTGTCATGTTGTCTTAACATCCCCACCTGTCACTCTCCCCCCTTCCACAGTACATACCCTGCCCTCATTTTGACATGAATAGCTGAAAATGAGTACATGGTGTGCAGAAATGAAAAGTAATGTGCAGAGGGATAAACTGAGGTGCAGTTATAAAAGGAACGTTGATTTCAGAGAGGTTTATCTGCGTGTATGAAGTTGTATCAGTCTTTATTGTCACTTGTGGATTTATATACCTTGTTCTGGCCATGCATACTTCAGCCGATGTGCTTGCTGGCGTTGCTTTAAAAGTCACCGGCGCCTGTATGTGTGTGCAAACAACATCCATGCGTGCCTCCCATCCTTCCTGCGTGCGTGCTCTCCTCCTTCAATTCTCTCCAGTCATTCCCCTCCCACTGCCTCTCTCTCTCTCCATCTCTCTCTCTCTCTCTCTGCTTCAACCAGACGCACAAACACTCTCTCACTGTGTCTGCTCCGCTCTATGTATCATAGTCACCGTCTGTGCGTTCAAAGGATTCGAGTGTGTCCACCTTTCCCTCCCTTCCAGCATTATTTCTGCCCCTGACTCTTGATTTTTGCCCTGCCCAGCACGGAGCTGTGCGCGCGTGCCGCTGGGGGGGGGGGGGATTGGCTGACTCGATAGGAGGAAAAAGAGACGGGAGAACTGTGCGGGCAGGAAGGATGCGCTCGTTGCTGCAGCTTCTGATTCAATTAGCATGAATTTCACAGCAGAGGCAGTAGCGGCAGCATCATCACCAGACTCTCTCAGCAAGCCAGCTGCTGCACCTTGTGTCGGAGCTCTATTGAGAGGACCAGTGGCTGCTTCTAATCTGCTTCCCACCCTGGAGAGCACTGTTTAAAGGGGCAGAGAAACGGAATTTTATCCTCCAAGGTTGAAGAGCAGTCAGAAGTAGGACGGAGCGTGGTCACAAGTCCAAGGATTAGGAGCATGTTATGTTGAACTGAACATCAACCTCTCTGATGCTTTGGTTGTGGTTTAATCCTGTTAAGGTGTCTTTCTTGGTCCTGCTCTGCATTCCATGACCCATATTGATTTGTTTGTCAGAAAAAAGGAGAGAAATTCAGCAACGTCGCACTTGGAAATAGCCAATCGTTTTGCCCTCTTGTCGACATCCCTTTTTTAAATTTGTTTTTACTATCCAGTCATTTATTCTCTTTATTCATCCCTTGTTTTTCTGATTTCAGCTGCAGACTGAAAGGATTCAGAGCTCTTTCAGGGATTCGAAGCCCCAAAACAGGATTTGGCTGCTCCTTCATCGCAGCACCCTTGTCTCTGCTCTTATTTTTTGCCTCTCCAGTTTGCACTCTGATTTTACTTCTATGTATCTTTTTTTCATTCTCCTGCTCTTCTGGTCTTCTATGTTGGTTCCTAAAAGCTCAGATGGGATGGAATGAGTCTTTTTCTTTGTGATGCAGACTTGGATTATGGGTGGAGAAGCCCTCTGAAGCTCTCCCCAAGGCAAAGGAAACCCTATCAAACAATTAACTCAAAGAGCTGTACACAAGACATTTTTCAAGGAGCTAAAATGGAGTCTTTTGTTCACTAAATCAGTGCTGCTAAGCTTTGGTTAATGGATTTAGGTTGTTCTTTAAACAAAATAGGTTAAGTTTATTATCAAAAGGTTTAAGTGTTTTGGGAGAGGAGTCGGAGTTGTTGTGGTTCTCAAGGATCAAGTCAGACGCATTTGGATATCAGCACTAGACTGTTGGAGAATTCTTGGGGTTCTTTCATTTCAGGAAGGATTTTGTCTTTTTTTTCTGTTTTTAATTCCAATTGTTTTTGGGATTTTCAAACCGGGATCTTTTTTTTTTTTTTTTTTTGGCTTATATTTTTATTCTGAATTTCCTTTCCTCCCTGGGCTGGAAGGCTGGGGATCATGGGCCCAGGATTCATTTAAGATGTTCACTTCCTGTGTGTGTCGTATGAGGGGGAGGGGCCTTACAATCCTTTCAGGCCCCACCCCTATGGAACAGGAGGTGGAAGTGGAGGTGGATGGAGGGTTACTAATGGTATCCAGGCCAAGTGCGGCATCACCTGTGGTGTGGGCTAGTCCAGCATTCCTGTTTAGGCTGGTGCTCTCTCTGGCACTGCTAGTTTTCCCGTGCCCAGCCGTGGCCGCACGAGTCTCTTCTTCCCTCAGTACCACCCACCATGTCCACCACTTCCACAACAAGCATGGCACTGTGCCCATTGCCATCAACCGGATGCCCTTTCTTACACGTGGGGGCCATGGTAAGATCATTCTCTTTCTGTTACTAATTACTGCCCTCTCAACACTTCTAAAAACTATCAGTCAAATGTTAACCAGTGATTTTCCTGAGCCATCCCAAAAAGTGCATTTTTATACCTTAAGGAATTTCTCTTCAAGAAGTTGAATTACGCTTGTAATGAGTTCCAAGCTGAGAAAACAAACCCACACAGGGTATTGGTTTATCCCTCCATTGATTCCTGTCATCTGAGGAAAGATGAGTGGAACCAAGCCTGGGCTTCCAGTCTCATTGCTTCAGCTCCCCATAGGCCAGTGGGTGAATTCATGTCCCTGAGTTGGTGGATAAAATGTCTAGAAGCTTTTTCATGCTGGATTAGTTTTTTGTTTTTTCAGCAAATCCCCAGCCAACTGTATTCTGCTACTTGTCTTTCAAATCCAGCACCCATCTTGGGTCTGCTGATTTATTGAACTGTGGCCAATTTATCTAATCACAACCTGTAGTGTAAATGTTGACATGTGATGGCAGCCACTAAAGGAGAGTGGCCTTAAGTGGTTGTGGAAATGCTAAGTTCCGTATGCCGATTGTCATGGTACATTGTGTACTTGAGAAAATCCACTGATAATTGCTTGAGCACTCCTTATTTTGTCCTACTTTCCACAGTATATGTCTTTGGCTCAGTGCTCTATGGTGCATCAGTTGCCGTGGTGTTCTTAGCCTAAGCTGTCAGGGACAAGACAGAGTTTCACACTGATGATTCCTTTGATGTTTGTCAGCCACAGCCTTTTCCACTGCAATGTTACTTCTCTTCTTTTCCTTGAATATATTTTCCTTGTTGGTTCTCAAAGCGCTGTACATACATTACTTTGACAAGAGATACTAATAGTGTTTATTGATTCCTCACCATGTTCACACTCATGTCTTTCAACTTTCTTCTAGTTGGTTCTCCCAACAACCCTGGATCTTTCTGTAAACCAGTTTCTCTTACTAATTACTGCCCTTCTCGCTTTCTCAGTATAGCTGCAAACCGAATTAAAGCACAGGGCGATCAAACGACAAATAAGATTTCCCATTAAGTGCACTGACTTGACTTGAATTTTAAGTATTGGCTGACTTTTAGACATGTTCTACTCAATAAAAAGAAGAGAAGCAAATATTGATAAAGTTTAGGTGGTTCTTGTTTGGGTTTAAATACAATTAAGATTTAGGTTATTGATGCTTTGGATTTATATTCAGTTTTATTGTGATGTAATTGGTGTCATATTACATGGAGTATTTGAAGAAGAACCTGAATCATTTTTCCCTCAGTGACGTTGCTAAAATATAGTGTTTCATCCCAATGCATCCCCATTTTTTTGACTACTGAGTAACAGGCAGTTTTTCTTCTAAAATGACAGTTTCAGCTGGTGTCTTTTCTTCATTTTTCTGCCTTCTCTTCCTTCTAGCTTAGATAATTGGATTGCCCCTTTAAAAACTTCAGTTGCTAAGCTATTTAAATTGACATAATTAACATAAAAATGTTCTCTGGCTCTCTTCCTGTGGATTTATGGCTGTCAAAGAATATTGGTCTGCCAGAGATATGGTCTGTTCGCCCTGTGAAAAGAAAAGACTACATTTCCATAGCAAACTTAGAGCTCAGGCTGGGAGCTCAACTCACACTTTATAGGTCTATTGGTCTTGTGTGTTTGTTCTCGTGTGCTGGAAGTTTTACTGTGATGTATTTTATTTTAAAAAAAAGGGGAAAAAAAGTACACATTGAGCGGAATAGCTGCTAAAGCAAGATGGGGACATTATTTGGTTCACTGGTTGGTTGTATTTGTTGTTCTTTTTTCTCCCTAGCAGTATGCTGTAGCAGTTACTAATGCACGCCTACACAGCAAACACTGCTGCTTCTCATTTGGTTTGTGTTGTTTTTAGTATCGCACTTTCAGCATTTTCATTATCCACTACAAGACAGCACACACACATTAGAACACTCCTTTCATGTGGGGAGTCAAATACAGTCGCCATTATAAATACTTCCATTGGAGCCTGGCATATCAAGTCCTTGTCTGAAATGCCAGCTCTCCACATATTGTCAACTAAGTGCCACAGCTTATTACTAGAGCTAATACCCCACTCAGTGATAAGAGCCCACTTGCTTCAGAGCACTTTCAGTAGGCAGTTTCTCAACTGGATGTCATTGTCGCAACGCTGCAGCGGACCCTTTCCTGTCACTCATGTATTCGCTCACTAACATCATCTCGATCAGATCTTAAGTTGGCACCAAAACTCTGCAGGAGCTTTCTATCTCCCTGGAATGGTGTATGCCAAACAACTGCCAAGCTACTTCCATCTAGTAGGAAAGTAGGCACCTACAATTCATTACACTGTCAGTGTGGCCCTGTGCCGAGCTCTGGGTTTTAGCATATCAGGTCCACGAGACTCAAGGCTTAAGCACTATCTGATGTTCTCTTCCTGCTTTGTCATTATAATGCTACAGAACACCAGTCTTACACTACATGTATCTTGCAATACCATATATGGCAATTTG